TTTTGAAACGACATTCAATTCACAGGAAAATTCATTGACTTCCGACCCATTAAGTCGCTGCAAACGGTTAACCCATTTAAAGATGTTTTCCGGTAGTAAGCGGTCGTACATTACGGACACGTTTTGGGCAAACTTTGCTGAGAATCACCCAAAACTTCAAAACCTATTCATCACTCACACCGATATAACGGACAGTCAATTGAATTCATTGTCTAAACTTAAATATATACGACACGTTAGGCTGGACTGGACGGGACAGGGAGTGGACTACAAACAGTCAACTCTCGATCGACTCGAAAAGTGTCCCAATATTAGGACAATAATCGGAGTGCCAACAGTGCCCAGGCTGTTTTAGTTAACATAACACTGGAAAGTTTTATTGATAACAAGTTTTTAAAACAAAGTTTTAATGTACAAAATTTATTTTAAAAATATTATATACAAGGTCTTTACGAATATTCAAATAGTTTTATTTACTTTATATAAATCAATAATTTTATAAATTAAATATACAAATAAATAATTTAATATTTTGTTATTGATATAAAAAGTATTAAAACTTTATAAAACTTTTTTTGTCCATAACGTTATTTGTTACAAAAATATCAATAACTAGATTTGTGGTGGTAATAATAAATGCATCATTCATTGACTCAAAACAAGTATATTTCAATGGACTCCCACCCCCTCTGATATGTCATGAACGGTGCATAACATGGAAACTCCACCTATGGTTACAAAATACACTGTAATGTCAATAGAGTTACGGTTTTTCACAATTTATTGCATAATAAACACAACAACACGTGATTTGTATCACTATTTAGTTTGCTTTTAACACAATTAGCACTGAATTTAATGATTAATGATTAATATTAGTTAATAATTAATTAAACAAGTAATGTATTAATGTATTGATTGTGTCACAAATAGTATCAAGCAAAGTGTTCACCCAAAACATGAGACAAAAAGTGGACTTTTATTTGAGAAACAATTTAATGATTTGTTTATAAAATACAAAACTTTTTGTGTTTAATTTAAATGCATTTAAAAAAGTTTTTATATTAAGTGTTAAAACAAAATACATTTCATATTTGACTGCCTAATTGGAGAGCACCGGTAGGTGTGAGACGACAACAGCACAGGTATGTAACAAATCACTGAACCATTAATTGATCATTAATTTCTTGTATATTAAATCCAACAGCGATTTGATTGGTTGGTCAGCGGGTAATCACGTGGACACAAGTATACATAGCACCGGTAGTACAGCAGCGCCGGTATGTATAATCGTAACAGCACTTAACCATTGATTACATGACTATTACAACTCATCAGCGATTTGAACGGCTAATCACCGGATCCATTGGACACATAGACACACATCCCTGCGCTGAGCACCTGTAGCCGCGATGGTCGCCGCCGCCTTTCCCATCGTAAAGCTGGCGGCGCTGGCCTTCCGACAGGTGGCCAAACCGATCGCCAACTCATTCAAGGAACGGGCGAAGAACTCGCCCTTCTTCCGGGTGTACATATGTATGCCTCCCGCGCAGGCCTACCACTGGATGGAAGTGAACGTCAAGATGAAGCTGTTAGGATTGGGTAAGCCGTCGCAGGTCCAGAAGCTCAACGAACAGATGGCCATTGATTTGGGCGCCGAACTGCTGGGCGAAGCGATCATCTTCTCGGCGGCGGCGCTCACTCTCGTCGCTGAGTACGTCCGACAGAGCCGTAAGGCGGCCGCGGAGGCGGTGGTCGTGGAGGAGCGCTGGACGACAGCCGAGTCGCGGATAGAGGAACTGGAGTTTCTGGTCGACAAGCAGGCGATGGAAGTGCGAGAACTCACGAGACTATTGTACGCGACTAAAGGTGTGAAACCCGCGCCCACTACACCCCCCACTGGCGATGATAAGG